TAGCCATAAACAAGATAATTTAGAAATCAGATTTTAAAAGGAAAAAAAAATTCCTACTTAAAACAAGAGCTGATAAACAAATAACGCAAAGAAGCTAGTGCCAACCATCGTAATACTTGTTCCATTCCTAGTTCTGAAACCAAACGGGAGTGATGTGAATTCTTTAAGATAATTCATATGCATGATCAATCTCAACTATCAACAATGCTTGAGCTCGAACGACACGTATTAGTTGAGAATATTTCCCCGTTAGTATGTTGCTGGATTGCAGAACTCATCCTAATCAAGATCTCATCTTCATAACAGTTTGGGCTTCAGATCCGATCCTTGTGATATAGGTCCTTACCTTTACTTTATATCCTACTGGAAATCAGATTCACTCAGTGCCAGTTTTATGTGGTGTAGAAAGCATCCACATCCATATTCAGTGATCATCGATAAGTCGAATCTAACTCATCATCGTTTTTGAATTTTTCTGCCTATTAATGTACGGTGACAATAGATAGATAGCTTGAAAGAATATAAATGCTATGACCAAAAATAGAGCACATGCTTCTGGGCTTCTAGTTACATTTACCGAACAATATATTACTTCATGATATACTAAAAAGTTTATCTTCCATCGAATTTCATTCTATTATTCAGCACATTCAAATATTTAACATAGAATATTATTTATTGTTTTCCGTACTTATCAGCAATTCATGTAGCTTTATTCCATTAGTACTTTTTTGGCTGTTTATTATTAAAAGTCAAAAGAAAAACAACTAATGTTCGAGAATATCATCTTGAACATACTAGTCAACTAATGAGTTTTCAACCAACGAATTCAACACAAATAAGTTTAAAACAAATAATAAAACTTGACAGAGCCTACATGAGGATAATCATTATTATCAAGAATATTAACGTTGATAACAATTATTATAAAAACATGCATAGCCCTATGGAACTTTTATGATGTTTCAGCATCAGATTCGTGAGGGCTATGATCACTGCCTACAAGCATTCGCTGTTTTCTCTTGAGGAAACAGCTAAATCCTGAAAAACATGCGTAGGTACAGAATTGTAGAATGCTGTCTGTATTTGAATGATTCCAAATTAGAAAAAAATTCTCGTCATCCCTTTCAGGATTTGACCAGGTTTCCTCGAAGATATTACGAGTTTCTTGGCAGAATCTTTTCAAGATTTTCTAAACAGAACCAACGAAAATTGAACGCACGGTATATCGATCTCAATACTTCAGTTTACATAGTAATCAGCTGCATAAGCCGTGTCATTCTATATCATTGTCACCATGTAATATCTTAATTTCTCACTTTAGTGCAAGCTTCTCTTTAAATTCGAGTCTGCCGCGGAGGTTTTAAAACTCCCACCGGGATATATGTCTGTCTTAAAAGTAGTGCGTAGGCGACTTTGAGCTGCCAGTAGCCACCAGTCGCTAAGACGTTAAATTTCCTATTTTTATTACCATAAACAACAACTAATTATTAAACACTTAAAGAGGTACAAGATAAAGTGGCTGCATTATGTTAAACAGGTATATATGAGCCAGGAATAAAATTAATAGGTGATTTTACAATGATATATTCCGGACTTCCAAAAGTTAATAAAACACGATCAGCATGTGGTGTAGCGATTTGTTTAAACAAGCCAACAACGAATATTTGGAAGTCATCAGGTTCAGAACGAGAGGCAGCTAATGAAAGAATTATTAAGATTCAAATGTATTGTACACCAATAAATGTGACTTCTATTGCTGTTTATGCTCCAATTAATCGATAGAACACATCTATGATGGATAAATGTGATCAATTTTATTTACAATTACAAGAGAGGACTGATAAGGTGCCAAAAGGTGATATGACTATTTTAATGAGAGATTTTAATGCTTGCGTTGGTAAACAAGAACATTTAATTATACTCCAGATTGTTGGGCCCCATGCGGCTGATGTTAAAAATGAAAATGGCATTAGACTCGCCGATTTTTGTTTAGCAAATGGTATAGTTATTTCAAACACTTTTTTCAACATAAGACAATGCATTAGTGAATAAGAAATTTAAAATGAAGTATTGATGAAGAGTAGCTGGAAGTATTGGAACTGATCATCATCTTATGCGATCTAAAACTAATTTGTATTTGAAATTAAGAAGAAGAAAGTTCCAACAAAATCAGTCACATTTAGATCATTTCAACTTACAAGATGAAAATATAGTTAATCACTTTCAAAATGATATTGAAGGAGTTTTTGAAGATAAAACAGATGATGATAATGCTAATATTAATTAAAAAAGCTTCACTTTTGCACAATGTATTAAAGAAGCTGCACAAATGCATTTTAAAATAGACAACAATATCAACAACGAGAGAAAAGAATGGATGACGGATGATATATTGAAGGTAGTAGAGAAGAAATCATCTGCTTATTTAATATGGCAAAATTACCTAGGTACGTCGAAAAAGAAGAAATATAATGACGAATACGTAATTCATAGAAGATCAGTTAAATCAATGGTAAATGAAAGTCAAATTGCATACTGAGATGAATTAAGGAAAGGAATTGAAACAGCTATCCTTAACCATGATCCAGCATCTGCTTATGCAATGATTAGAAGATTTAAAGATGGACAACAAAATTCAGAGAATAGTGCTGTTCAAGTTAAAAATGGTAAATTACTTATCAGTTCTAGGGCTAAATTGGACAGACGGAAAGAATACGTCTACAGGTTATTAAATGTTAAATCTATCGTTGATTCAAATGTTATTTACCACATCTCAACACTCTCAATAACAACAACAGAACGAGATAGACAGAATAAACCATTGACACTAGAAGAGCTTGATCAAGTATTCAAACGAATGAAAAATCGAAAAGGCCGTGATAATGACGATATTAGTGCTGACAAATTCAAAGTAGGTGAATTATCTCTTCTTAGATGGCTTCATGAAATAATTTTTGATATTTGGCAAAATGAAGGAATAGTCGATCATTGGATCTTAGCCATTTTCATTCGTTTTTTTTTAAATAAAGGTGACAAAAAACAATGCGATAATTATCTTGATATCTTTCTATTACTAGTAGCCAGTACATTATTTACTGGAGTAATTCTTCATCGTCTTCAAAAACTAATTGATAAATAATTATTAGAACGACAAGCAGGTTTTATATCCAACAGTCCAACTATCGATCAAATATTTATAGTTAAAATGATTACAGAAAAATTAAGAAAATATAATAAACCATTGTTTATGTGTTTTATAGATATTCAAAAAGCTTATGATTCAGTTAAAAAAGAATTATTATGGAAAATTTGTAAACATTATGGTTTAACAAAAAAAAATCGTTCGGTTACTTAAGTTAATATATAAAAATACAAGAGAAAAGGTAGGAATGAATGGTGTATTTTCCGAAAGTTTTGTTATTGAAACTGATGTTATGCAAGGGAGAACTCCTTCACCTATTTTATTATAAATATACTACTCAATTTCATTATCAGGCAGGTGTTAGAAGAAGCACCACGGAAAGGTATTAAATGAGCCTATGGTAGCAATAATTTTTTACCATGATAATCGAGAAAAGTACGACAAATTTAACATTCTAACATTAGTGTATGCGGATGATCTACTGGCAATGCGTAACAACATAAATGATCTTCAAATGTTTAATTAGAAATCAAAAATTGAAATAACAGACTCGTTTTGTTATTTAGGGTGTTTACTTTCTAGAAATAAACGGTCTGATAAGGAAATAGAATCTAGATTAACAAAAGCAACAACAGCATTCAGCATGTTAAGAAATGTTATTTGGTATAGAAAAGCAATCTCTACAATGCCAAATTACGCATTTTGCGAGTCTGCGTATTTCCTGTCCTTTTATATGATAGTGAGGTATAGACCTTGACAATTGCTCAAGAAAACAGAATAAGTAGTTTTTATATGAAATGTTTAAGCACAATACTTGGTTGAAATCTAGGTGATCGCGTATCAAATGTTAAAATTTTGAAATTATCTGGTCAACCTACAATTCAAGATATTATGAAAAGAAATCTTTTAAGATGGTTTGGTCATGTAAACAGGAGGGAATATGACAACAGTCACGTTTTCATACTTTTCTGGTAGAAAACATCCTCTAAATGTTGGTATCAGAAAACGTTGAGAGAACAACATATTGAAAGATATCGAGAATTTTGGTATTAAAAGCTGGAGAAGGGACACTAGAAGCAGAAATTATTGTAGACAATTAATTAATCGAAATCTACAGGTTACTTCTGTTCATTCAAACATCAAAAACATAGTGATGAAATATAAAGAACAAACGGATAAAGGAAAGATTCAAGATTCGATGGCGAAACATGGCGCTGTAGAAGAAAAAGTAACAGAAATATTGAGTAAAGATTCGAACAATTATTATACATGTCCAAATTGTAATGGACGGTTTAAACCACCAGAAATCACTGGACACGTAAAGTCGTATGCAAAAGAATGGTGTAACACGCACAAAATTAAGTTAAAATAGTAATGAAACAAATGAAATATTGCCTCACTGGTGCTATGAAGATTACTATTTAAATCATGACGCAGGATAAAAGTTGAATGATATACTCGGAGTCAATGCTTTATGAGAACGAACATCACATAGACTGTAAAGAACACTTAAATTCTATTCTAAACTATTGTGTGGGTGTGTTTTTTTTGCACTTTTATGTCTCACCATACACCGCCAGGTAACCTGGGTTTAACTAACTAACTCTTTGAATTCTATGTAAATGAAAATCGTTTCAGAAAATTCTGAAAATGGAACGAGACCATCACGTAAATGAAATATATAGTAATTCAAAAAAGCATTATTTACACAATAATTAAAAGAAATCAGTAAAACAACAGGATCTAGTAGGGTCTATCGAGGTTTTGCGGCACTCAAATTGGAAGACAGACGCGATGTAAGTGGTTTAGCGGGCACTAAATCCAGACCCTGATGTGATATTAATTTTGAATTATTTTGTAATTAATGTTTTTTGTATTACTTTTTAATTCATTTACGTCCTCCAGTGAATGTAACACCATTTAATATCCTTATTTTAGTCGGTGAAATGTCACTAGTCTTTTTATTTTGATTCGATTGAAAAAAAATATTTTGGGTAGGGTGAGTGTGGGTGTGGGTATGTGGGTGTCGGTATGAGTATAGAGGCAAGGAATACTCACACCAACACCGACACCCACCCACATCCGCCCTATGGATATGAAAACAAAGTTAGATGCATGGCGTTCATATGAACATATTCGTAAACATTATGTTTTAGAAGATGATCAATTACATTGGTTAGCTGTTTCATTATATGTATCATGTAGAAGATATAAACATCTAACAACAAATCAGAATAATCCAATATCAATATCAATATCACGTTTATTAAAAAATGCTAATCATTTAGAATTATTTGTTTTTTTTTGATAAATTACATAAATGTGAAGATATGACCAATTTACCTGATTCAATTCGATCAAAAATCGATCAAATGTGGAACATGTTTTTAACATATCATCAATTATATTTGAAAAATATACAAAAGTATTTATTGAAATATTTGGTGGAAATCAATATAAATTAATTTATTCTGATTATCAATATAAAAGAACATGAAATCAAATAAATCCTAAACTAAATACAAAAAATAAATTAAATAAATGTTCACACCAAGATTTATATTCACTTATATGGACAATATATGCATCAGCTAAAACAATTTATCCATCAACTACCAATGATCTTTTTGCTTCATTTCATTTACTTATTTCTAGTTTTTTCTTTTATTTATGATTATGTCAAATTAGCCAAATTAGATTATATACTTAAAGGTAACATTCTATTAGAAGATTTCATTTATATATATCATTTTAATCGACTTTATTATTAACATATCATTTTTTATTTTAGTTTTTTTCAATTAAAAATTTTCTTTTTCACTTCTTATCAAATGAAGATTTCTTAATAGATATTTTTTTGTTTATTTTATTTTAACTTTATATGTTTTATTTTCTATATAAAAGATAATTTACTTTTACAAACTCGTTGGAATTCTTTAAAATAAAAATCTATTTCATAATATGGATTTTTATTTAGAAGTCTTTGAGATAAGATCTGAAACAAATTCAATTTTCGATTGTTCGATATAGAATTAAATTAAATTAAATATTTTGAGATTTATCAATATATTATTAAATAAAAATCATTTCAAATATCTTTTTATCGAATATATATATATCGATAACTTAGAAAAAAGACCTATTTTCTTGTCAATATGATTATTAATCGATGAAAACGTAAATAATCAAATATGATTAATGATTATTTCAAATCATGTTTAACAATTTAATCGTTTAAACGATATTATAGTTATAACTATGAACAATCGATTAATAATCATTTAGAAATAATATAAGGGTGTGGGTGTGGGTATGTTGCTCTTGTAAACCAACACCCACCCACACCCACACCCACACCCACCCTACACCCACACCCACACCCACACCCACCCACACCCACACCCACACCCACACCCTCTGCAACCTTTCTGAGAAAGAAAAAAAGGTCATACAAATAAAATATGAATATAATAATTAAAAGATTAATTGTCATAATTTATTTAATATTATTTGTAAGTATTTATAATATTCTTAAAATATACAGTTACTAGCGCTTTTTAAACTAGTTCATTCACTAAAATTCTCTCAAGGGTCTATCTTGAAAATCATGTAATTATTGTGTGAAATCTTACCATACTTATTTTGAAACAATGAAACAGTTAACTTTGAAGTTAGTATCTGACTTGAATATGCAGATTTCTTTCTTACCCACAAAGACGTTTCTTTGTAACAGCAGTTGTTTGATTTATACGTGTATATCAAATGTCATTCTAATCGATTAAAAATTGCACAATCACAATTATTGCGAGACAAGAAACTTTCGAGAATACATAGTATACACACGATGACTGAAGCCATTGGGTTTGAATTCATGTTAATATTAAACAAGACAAAAAGCTTTACATAACTACAATTTCGTTTTATTTTAACGTACTTTGATGTTCAAGCATCATAGTAAAATGCATAGATGAAATGTTTCATTCTCTTTTTTTTTCTTTTTGTAAACGTCCAAACAATCCATGTGGACTAAAGCCATATGCAATGAAAGATTTGAATTCATTAAAATTCAACTTATAATCACAATCTCCATCAGTTTTTTTGTATTTGATGAAGAAGTAAATATGGATTCGCTTCTGGCAAGATGACGCATATAAATCCATGTGATTTAAGAGTATCGATTATATTCAACGATTAGTACCAAGAAGACAAAATTCATCTGAAACTTTTTCCATTGCATATTTTCTCATTGTAAATGTGTGTAATACTTTTATAAAACTATCATAAGATATTGATGAGTTCTATGATCCTGATGCAATCCGTTCATATTTATTTCAAGATCATTTGATTTGATATGTTTTTCTTTCTCCATGATTATTTTCGTTATATTCATATTGAATTTCGATAATATCTTTCATTTATAGTTTTCGCTGCGTTTATTTTATGTTCATGAAATATCCTAAATGTAGTATATGTTTTGATTGCAAACCATTGTTAGCTTTCAGACTATTAGAAAGTAACAAAAATAGGTATCTATTGCAAAATTTCTATACAAAACTTGGATGAGAATCAATACTCTTCTGCACGCATTTGGGCTCCAATGTAAACGTAATAATCGATTATTACAAGAAAGTTCTATGTCTTCATAAAAAGACTTATTGTCAATTCCACATATGAATTCGTATTGTTCTTATTCAAGTATATACTTTTGCAATTTTTTTTTGCTTTAGTCATAAATTTGTTTACAACTGCAAACATTCAAATATTAAGGAGTATGCATTTCTAAAGTGAAATCATGAATATTAGATACAACACTATGATTCTTGCAGGAATTTTTGATAAATATGATTGATACACACTATAATGTAACATGAATGAGAATCTCTAACTTAAAAAAACCACTTTAACTTCGTCCCTAATATATTTTGGGTAATTCATATTTTACATGATATACAAAGTCAGTATTTACAATGAATTTGAAGGCCTTCAGAAAAATGACTTTAATGTGCATACGCTTTCGTCTAAAATTCCAAGTTGAGTTAGATTCTACTGTTTTCTCTTTGAGAAAGCCTAATTTAAGTTTAGTATTACTTTCTCTTTTATAATGCTTCGTATTCTTTTGAGCATCATCGAAAAAGTTGAAAGAACGATAGGGAACTTACCAATCCGTTACAACAATTTGTAGTTCGACATTATTGCCAATGGTTTTTCATATG